TGAAAATTATAATATCAGAGAAACAATAACAAAGAAATACATGGATTTTATTTTGTTAACATGCATAGATCTGATAAAAATCGAGCGGTATCTTTTTCCTTTGCTCTTGCAACAAATATTGCTATTCATATAACAAATCGGCTGCAAACGTAAAAAATAGTAATAATCATAAATAAATTTAATATTACTTTTATTATATATAATCTGCTGTATTATTTAACCCTTTTATTCTCTTTCCTGCAATCTTCTTGAGATTTATTTTTTTTTCCTCACTAGGCCTAATGATACCTTATATTTCATCAAAGTGTATACACTACTGAGGACTTCTACGGATAGCTTACTGCGCATGCACTTTGACTGCCCAACATCAGTGATGAGATATTGGACCGGTTTTTGCGCGCATGCGCGAGAAATGTAGTCTCAGTAAAGTACAAGTTTCAATAAAATAGGGTACCTCAATCACCCCTCATTATTTTTCAAAAATTTTTATAATTTGGTTGTGAAATATGAATGTATAGGTTGCATAAGATTACATTATATACATATTTTCATATTTGAGGAGCAGATGGAAAGGAAAGGTACTATAATAACTGCAAGCAAAATATATAATAAAGCCACCTAGTGGCGCCACTAAATACATACGCTGCGTACGCTCTTGCATTTCTCGCGCATGCGCGCAAAAACCGGTCCAATATCTCATCACTGCTTTGGGACAATGTTGGGCAGTGATGAGATATTGGACCGGTTTTTGCGCGCATGCGCGAGTGTTTCAAGTATAGACAAGTTTATCAATGAGAAAGAGATATTTAATTAATTAAATATAATTATTAGAAATAAAATATAGATTAATTAATTACAGATATTTAATTAATCCTAATGGAGGCTTTGCTAGAGAATATCAAATATTGGGACCGGAATAAGACTTTGTAAAATATATACATTCACAGTAATATCATCTTTTATGAAATTTGATAATGCTAATGCTTTGCTGGTGTTACTGTCATCTCTAACTCATTCTGTGACTCTGTTGAACTATCAATAAAACTGTAATTTATTTATTGTAAATAAAAAACACATATTTCTAAATGGTTTGGTATTACGCAATCTACATTAATACACAATTCACAGAATTTTGGTAAAATATATGAAAGAATTGATTAATTTCAAGTGTGTGAAAAATCAATAAATGTATTCAGATTAATACCATTATAGTTTTCTATGATAGTATTGCAAGCATAAAAGTACAACTTTATGGATTATGTGGGATGGGAATAAATATTTAATTTGCAATAAATTGGTGTTATTTTATTAAAAACTGTGATCCTTACATACGAATTAACATAATCTGATTAATCCTAAGCTTTCTAAAACTTCATTCATTTTCTATATATATACAAAGTAGTCAGGTGTATATAAAATTAAAATGTACAATATTTCAGCATTCCTTTAAATTATAATTTTATTAGATTTAATGTTTCCACTTATTCTGTATCAAGTTTATCGTGCATCAAACACCACAACTATATATATTATTAAGGAAAATAAAGTAGTCATTATACATGTTTAGAACATACATGTCCTAAATATTTATTCCATACATTATATCTTTTCAAGTGGATATTCAAATCTAAGATACTAGATACATAAGAGAACTGTGTCCTGATTTGGGTTATATATTAAATAATAATGAGTTATAATGATTATTTGGGTTGTTAGAGCTCTAAAACATATTGAATATATAAGCATAAATATACATTTTTAATCTCTTCTCAAATGAAATTAGATATAATATACACACAGAAATCAGGATACAGTATTTTATCTCTTTTGAAAAGTTGACTGAAATTTTAGTTAAAAAAGGATACGTCTCTTTGTGCGTTTTTTGTACATAATTCTGTATCCACATTCTCTGCATCGAATTGGGTCTCTGGGTCTTATTTCATTATCATGATGGCACTCTATAAAAACATCACCATGATACTATAATATACGATTTCCATGTATTTATCTATTACAATTCATATATTAATAAAAATTTTCTAATTGTTGACAGTCGACTATCATTAGTATCATTATAAAACAAAAGTTCTAATTAGTATGAAAATGGTTTGATATAATGCTTATAGCGTATAAATGAAACAAATGCATTTATGTGAAGCATGTGAAAAGTTAAGAATTATTTATATTTTTAACCTTACCTCCACAAATATATACCATGGCCTGTTTTGGAGTTGAATCTGACTTGCTGGATTCCATTTTAAATGAATTTCTAAATGTTGTTGCACAATATTTCCAAAATAACGCAGTGTTTATGATCCTTATAGCACATGAATTTCATAACATTGCTGTAAACAGCAATATCCTAGGGAAAATGGCAGCCAACGGAAATTGGTTTGTACTAGACTTTGGGACAGTGATGAGATATTGGACCGGTTTTTGCGCGCATGCGCGGCAATTTTAGTCTCAGTAAAGTACAAGTTTCAATAAAATAGGGTACCTCAATCACCCCTCATTATTTTTCAAAAATTTTTATAATTTGGTTGTGAAATATGAATGTATAGGTTGCATAAGATTACATTATATACATATTTTCATATTTGAGGAGCAGATGGAAAGGAAAGGTACTATAATAACTGCAAGCAAAATATATAATAAAGCCACCTAGTGGCGCCACTAAATACATACGCTGCGTACGCTCTTGCATTTCTCGCGCATGCGCGCAAAAACCGGTCCAATATCTCATCACTGTCCCAAAGTCTAGTACAAACCAATTTCCGTTGGCTGCCATTTTCCCTAGGATATTGCTGTTTACAGCAATGTTATGAAATTCATGTGCTATAAGGATCATAAACACTGCGTTATTTTGGAAATATTGTGCAACAACATTTAGAAATTCATTTAAAATGGAATCCAGCAAGTCAGATTCAACTCCAAAACAGGCCATGGTATATATTTGTGGAGGTAAGGTTAAAAATATAAATAATTCTTAACTTTTCACATGCTTCACATAAATGCATTTGTTTCATTTATACGCTATAAGCATTATATCAAACCATTTTCATACTAATTAGAACTTTTGTTTTATAATGATACTAATGATAGTCGACTGTCAACAATTAGAAAATTTTTATTAATATATGAATTGTAATAGATAAATACATGGAAATCGTATATTATAGTATCATGGTGATGTTTTTATAGAGTGCCATCATGATAATGAAATAAGACCCAGAGACCCAATTCGATGCAGAGAATGTGGATACAGAATTATGTACAAAAAACGCACAAAGAGACGTATCCTTTTTTAACTAAAATTTCAGTCAACTTTTCAAAAGAGATAAAATACTGTATCCTGATTTCTGTGTGTATATTATATCTAATTTCATTTGAGAAGAGATTAAAAATGTATATTTATGCTTATATATTCAATATGTTTTAGAGCTCTAACAACCCAAATAATCATTATAACTCATTATTATTTAATATATAACCCAAATCAGGACACAGTTCTCTTATGTATCTAGTATCTTAGATTTGAATATCCACTTGAAAAGATATAATGTATGGAATAAATATTTAGGACATGTATGTTCTAAACATGTATAATGACTACTTTATTTTCCTTAATAATATATATAGTTGTGGTGTTTGATGCACGATAAACTTGATACAGAATAAGTGGAAACATTAAATCTAATAAAATTATAATTTAAAGGAATGCTGAAATATTGTACATTTTAATTTTATATACACCTGACTACTTTGTATATATATAGAAAATGAATGAAGTTTTAGAAAGCTTAGGATTAATCAGATTATGTTAATTCGTATGTAAGGATCACAGTTTTTAATAAAATAACACCAATTTATTGCAAATTAAATATTTATTCCCATCCCACATAATCCATAAAGTTGTACTTTTATGCTTGCAATACTATCATAGAAAACTATAATGGTATTAATCTGAATACATTTATTGATTTTTCACACACTTGAAATTAATCAATTCTTTCATATATTTTACCAAAATTCTGTGAATTGTGTATTAATGTAGATTGCGTAATACCAAACCATTTAGAAATATGTGTTTTTTATTTACAATAAATAAATTACAGTTTTATTGATAGTTCAACAGAGTCACAGAATGAGTTAGAGATGACAGTAACACCAGCAAAGCATTAGCATTATCAAATTTCATAAAAGATGATATTACTGTGAATGTATATATTTTACAAAGTCTTATTCCGGTCCCAATATTTGATATTCTCTAGCAAAGCCTCCATTAGGATTAATTAAATATCTGTAATTAATTAATCTATATTTTATTTCTAATAATTATATTTAATTAATTAAATATCTCTTTCTCATTGATAAACTTGTCTATACTTGAAACACTATTAATATAACAGCTGATTATCAAGTATATATTGATTACAATTATTATAAGAGCATAATTTAAATTCCTTGTTCATAATATTTTCAAGCCTTAATAATCTACATATGTTACTTGTAATGCATATAAAATACTTGTTTGCCAAATGTTTGTAAATGTCACTGTCATCATTCACTATAAAATTTAAATCATTCGTGAAAATGTGAAGACTGTTTTGGAAATTTTTGGCCAAACAAATTGACAAGATTTTTTTTGAACAAATTTTGTTGTCGAACAATTCAATTAAAAATAATTTATATTGGGCTGAACCAAAAGCTCGCTCACTTTTTTTTCTTGACAAATAAACGCGATTCAGTTCCTACATTACCGACCATATTATAACCTATAAATTATGCATCACTTTATTTACTATATAAATCTTTTCTCCTCAGATTTAAAAACATTGTAAATATTGGAATAGTAAGACTTGAGTATGATTGATTTAAAAACAGAAAATTAACAATTATATTTTTTATATTTAATACTTTCAAAGAATGAAACTGCTATATAGATTTAAATGAACATGTAAAATATATGTCAGCTGAGATATTACAAATTTTGCATTTGATAAATTTAAAATACATCAATTGCTATCATGTGCAATTTATTTATTTTTGGTATTGTAATAATAAGTAATTTAATCAGTTGTTATTTTTTTAGATTGTTGTCTTCATTAATTCTTCAATGAAAAGCTTACAAAAAGGTATGCAGATCAAATAATGAAGTTACTCATGAGATGATCAAAGATCATTAGAAAAATGTAGCAGATACATTACTGACTTGATATAAAGATAAATATTTAATATTTAGGCCGGCGTTTTTTTTTTTAAGTCAAACGAATTTTTGGTTCAATCCAATTGGTTGAATCCTATTTGTTTCAAAAATTTCTTAATACTGAGTTTGGAAAAAGCCAAGCCAACTTCTTGCCCAAAGTTATTTTAAACATCAGTACTATTTTTAAAGTAGAACATTGTTTAACATTGGTCTGTATTTTTAATATAAAATGGATTAAATTGTATATTTTTTAAAAAATTGATGTGTAATTTATATTCATGATTTCTTTGCAGTAATAGATATTATTTTCATTTTTGATGATATAAAATAACAGTTGTTGTTACTTTCAAAGACTGAAGTTTTTAATTACTTTTAGAAATTAACTTAATCATCATAAAGTTACAACGATCATTTTTGCAAACTGTAAATATTAAGCATATAAAATATTCTTTTCCTCACTAAATATCTAAACATAATTTGATTATAAAAATTTAGATTGCCACTTAAATGGAAAAGAGAGAATATTTATGTATATGTTTGAAATGCAAGTTTTTTATAAATTGAAGATTATACAAAGATCGTATAAAGTGTAATAATTTAAATTTATTTCGAAATAATATTATCCAATGTAAAGAAATTTAATTTACAATGAGTTACATGCTTTTCAAAAATTAAGACTTTATTGAAATCAATGATGATAAGAAATTACAGTTTATAATAATGAATCACTGTGTTTTGTGTAAATGTTGATATTTATTTTAAACTAAAATTATTGTAAGTGATAAATATTTTGCATACATTAAAAAATGTTATATATACCACATATTTCAAAAAGTGTTCTCTGCTTCTTTTTTGCTACATTATATCCCTTATTTTATTTTAAAATAACATTTATATTTTTTAATTCTGTAAATATCTAATAAAATATATAACTGAACTTGAATTTTATATATATTAAGTTATTCATAAAATTTTCAACTAAAAATAGATTTATACTAATGTTTTTGTAAATTATCTAAAAGTGTTTCCAAAATAGAATAGAGCAAGTATACTGTTTAACGTATTTGTAATGTTTTTTGTTGTTTTTTTTTAATAAAATATAAATGTATCTTATATTGAATTGTTCGTTATACTGTAGGATATAAATGACAAAAAGTATGGACACTCGTGATCTCCTAGATCTAAATCAATCAATTTGATATGTAAATTATGTTTTGTTATTCATGCTCTTTAAAATATGAAATACTCTTACAAAGGACAACAGTTTCGAAAATATATTGAGAATCATATTCTGAAAGAACTACTTTAGTAATCACATACGACATAGCCAGAAGATAAGTATTACATTGTACGAAATTTGGCTTTAGCTGCATTTCAAAATATTTTATCTTCATGGATTCGTTTTCCTAATATTCATTATTAGACATTTTCAATGCAAAAGTTATTTTTTTGTTTATCTTATAATTTCTTCGAAAATATAAGTATCGTTGGCTTGGCATCATGAACAGATACACCTGCACGCTTTGGAAATCCATACATTACTTTATAATCGGACTGTGTTAGAGTGGATATACACCAAATGCTATATTAAACTATACTACATTGATATTGTTTGGCGACAATCACTTCAACTGGACCTCAATGTATATGATTGTGCGATCATTCTATTTGTCTACTATTTTATCTCAAGCACACTTAGGTACAAATTGTGATAATCGAAATCTGATTATGCAGTAGGAAAGACGAGTCGTGCTTGAGTAAGATGTTAAAAATTGGACGCTGTATATTAAATAGGTAATTATAAAATACAGTAGCTGTCGCTTGTGGAAGGTATGTTGCTTCTTAAATATTTTAAGCAAACTGAGACAATCGGTTATCGGTTACCTAGCTTGTTAATATTAATCATTAACTCGTACTAATTAATTTCAATTAAATTTACTAAAAAATATTGTTTGATACCAGTCTTTAAACAGAGTTAGGAAATTTCATTTAAATCTAATGAATGAACAAAATAAAATATGTCCATTTCAGAATTTATAATTCTGTGTTTAAAATGTATTGATTTTGCATTTTTGGTTTCCTTAATGTATTATAAAATTTGTTATTTCAGTAAATTTTAATAATGATGTATGTTATAAATTTATAAATATATATAAACAAAATATGTTTATATATGGCGGATGTCTCAATTTTTTCAGAAAATTGATGTATAGTACCTAACTCTGTTTTTTAAGATCAAACGTACATATGACCTCTAGACAACTCAACAAAAAGATAAATGAACTTTATAAGAGTAGTGTACCAAGCTTAATTTACAATCAATCCGTATAACCGATTCTATTTCCAATGACAAATTTCTTAAAATTATAATAAAGACTAACAGGATTTCATGATATCATACATAAATATATACAAACACTTCTTCTCTTATATCAACAATAATTCTGATAACTGTTCATACTAATATCATACAAATATATATACATATATGTATGCATATATGTATGTATGCATATACAATGTATGTATATATACACATACACATTCATGTATCAATAATTAAGATACAATATTAATTTTTAATATTAGAATACTCTTCAACATTGAACGCAACAGTTGCATTTTAAATACAGAATCACATGCCAGTCCATTGCACCTTATGCTGATATAACACTACATTGTGTATAAATATTATATTTTTTACTAGTTGTGAAAACTATGTTATTACAAGTTACATCCCACCACTTTTCGAAGGAAAATTTAAATAAGTTAGTTCCAAACCAAAACTAGCAATTTGCGTTTTGGTTTTGAAGTACAAGATCAAAAAATAAATTCTCGGTAATAAATTACTATTTTTTACTAAATTGGTTAAATTATAATTTTTTTAATTCATATAATAAATAATGAAACTTTCAGTCTGAAATGCCTAAGTGATGTTATGCGAATCATAAAATTATGAAAAATAAGTGCTATATATAGACACATTTTCTTTAATTTAAACTAATTGTTAAATATATTAGAATAACATATTGTACATTATGTTATATTGAGTAATTCTTGCAAAGACGAATAAAATAATGTTATAGATTAATAATCCAATTTTGTGTTATAAACATTTTTATATCCTTTGCAGACAATTAAAAATGTACAATATTGTTTATCAATTAGTTATTATTAAAAACTCAAGAAAAAAAAATGAATTTAATGAATGCATAATAAACTGAATGTATTGTGTATAAGCAATTACATCAACGGATAATACACATTTTTAATTTATGTATAATAAATTTTTCATTCAATAAACCATTTTCTTTTATTTGGTAATTAAATAAATAAAGGATGAAGAAATATATTTTTTTCATAAAATAGAAATTTATGTTTATTTACAGATGAATAAAACATCATTTTTATGCTTAAACAATTGGATAATTTAAAATTTAAAAGTAAAGGATTATTCAAGTTGTGAACTTTCAATTTTCCTATTTCTTGATTCATAAAATATGGAATTAAAAAAATTAAGTTCAATGATATTGAACATTTATTGGAAAAGTTTAATTGAATATTATAGTGTTCAATAAAAATTATGTTCTTTTTGGAGTATGCTTCAAAATAATTGTTAATTCAATGATCATGAATAATACTTATATTACTGCATAAATATTGGAGATGAAGATGATATCAAATACATATGTACATAAAAATTCATTTTTTTAAAGATATAAACAATAATCAAAAGAACGTTGTTTTGAAAGTTATAATAATCTGAACAACGTACTTGAAAATGTACAAAATTTCTTATTATATTAGCTTATCATTAGACTGATAAGTCTAATAGTTTACAATAATTTGTTTGATAAATAAACTTGAGCAACATAAATCGTGACTAATTGGCAAATATAGTCAAAATGTATTCTCAGGTGTTATCTGAAAAATATAAAGTAACCAATAGTTTTATAGAGATTGGTTGTAGATTTGAAAGAGATAATCAAAGCTGAACAATGACATAGTCAATTAAGTTCAATGTTCTCTTCAGAAGATACTTATAACGTAGAAGAACCCTAACTAAAGCAAGAAAGAAATTGCTTAAACATTCTTGAGGATGTTGGAAGAGCTTTGTAGCCGAACAGATAAGTTGCAGTAAATAACTATTGAAAATTGCAAGACAGTAAGGTCAACATTGTACCACAGATATAAAAACAAAATAGTTTTTAATATCTTTAAAAAAATAATGCTTCATTTTTATCTACGTTGACTATTACAGTGATTAAGATTCAGACATTAATTTTTGGACGATTGAATCTTTCGATTTTATACAGAAGTATTTCTCTTGTATGCCAAAGCAATATTTTCAATATTTATGCTATCAATCAATAGTCATTGACATTCTACTGATATGCATCACTTCAGACGCATTTTTTACGTACTTTGGCTTGTAAGATAAATATTAAATAAAACAAATTGCCATTACAATAGTAATAATTCTTCTCAATAATAATATTTACTGTACATTACCATAACGTAGAAATTCCTTTAGTATAATTAAATTGTACCTTTTGGCATCTTGGAAAAGGTCTTTGTGATTCTTAATTTCAATAACAAACACTGTTAGTAAACAAATGATCATGTTCCTTTAGAAATTTCCTTCGAAAGATGGTGGTATTTTTTTTTTGTTTATAACTATTTTATCGGTACGGCAACGAATTCGACCAAACAATTTCACCGTTGATTTGTTTTCTAGTCCACTGCATTATTTTGGCACTACGTGTCTTTGACTTATCATGGTCTATTTTTGGCTAATAGATATTTCTGTTACTTTTTCTCTGAGTATTCTCTTTTTCTCTACACTTGTCCACATCCCTGTGTGCATTTTGTACTAAAATCCGATTCGATATTATGTTCAATAAAATTTGTATGTCGTTCATGGTACACATTAGAAACTTGTGCAGACTTGGCACTCCCGTACGATTGGTACGACCACATCCAGCCTTGTATAATCTATGGAAGATGTAAAGATTGATTTGGCATCTCGTTCACACTGTACTCGCGCTCCTGTTAATTAAACTGATCGAACTTTGGATCTTCGTTGGTGATTGGCACATGATATGATCGAAACATATCCGAGTCTGTGGTCACTTTCATGGCGGCATAGGCTCACCATCGTTTGAGGAAGTTTCACCTCCGCTGATCACTTGACTTGGAATAGTTTCAGGTTCCCACTGTCCTACTTTATTAGGATCTTTCTCGCAAAGTCTTTGAGCCAACATCTGTAAAAAGTATTTTAATCTCAGCTTTACATGAAAAATTTCAGTTATTTTAATATTTGTCTACACATCTATCTAACTTTTTACTTATTCTTTTTTACGGTTTTCAACTATTACCAGTATTTAGGACAGTGCTTATTAGAGCATGTAGTACACTAATTATTTATGCATTTGTGATATATGGAAGTCTATAAATTATACATAAATCATATAATTTATATGAATCTACATTTTACAGATAAATGTATGCTTTATAGACTTGAATATATCATAAATGAATCAAGATTTGCAGCTTAATTATTGGAAAGTTCATGAGTAAACTTAATGGAGTTTGATACTGCAAACTTATTAAAGCAGTAAAATACACCTTATATATTTTTAATTCTTAAAGTAAATTGCAATTATTATCAAAATAGGTTATGAAGCTTCATGTGTGATGTATAAACATAATGAATGAAACAATAGTGGAAATTATTAGTAGAATAATAACCTCAAAAGAATTCATTTAATTAAGAGCACTTGAATTGGTTACATACCTGAAGACTAGTAAGACTATTATCACAGTCGGTCGTATCGATGTCATTCAAATTGACACCAGACCTTTCCATTTCAGCGTACGTCCCGAATGGCAATTTACCTAAACACTCTAATTTCATAATATGCATTTTGCTACGAAGATGTTTCGCCAAGTGACCATGTATCCTGAACGCTATCTTACAGTCGGTACATTTGAATGGTCGTGGGTTGCTAGTCGTCGCAGCCCCGAACGTGGAAGTCATACTGACCTGTAACATAATATTTACGATTTTAAATGTTGTTATTTTCAGTGCTGCATTCTAATGTGTTCTCGCACAGAATAACCTATGTAAATGCATACGGTTTTACTTAAAAGAATGTAGTTGACATGCAGATCTCACAAAAGAATGACCTTGAGAAAAAATTATTTATATCGTTGCATGTAAATTATTAACATATTCTTTAATATTTTATCAGGGTTTTAAGATATTCACGATGAGGCGTGAAATATCTCATACATATTTCAATGTGGCTTGACTGATTACCTTGTTGTGATGTGAAACAGATCTCTCGTGCTTTGTCAAATGACCCTTGGTCCGGAAAGACACCGCGCAGCTCTCGCATCTAAATGGTCTCTCGAAGTAATGAATATTGATATGCAACCGTAACTGACTAGGTTTGCTGAACACCTTGTTACAAATACCGCAGACACTTTTCCCATCCTCAGTCACACTGTAACTACATTTGTTGGACTCGCTCCTTTCGGCGAAAGTTATTTCTTTCAAGTAAGCCGGCAACACGTGGCCCTCGGCGTCCGGTTTCCATTCTCTCCCTTGTATCGGTAACCTTTCCATAGTTTGAACTATCGTTTGCAGCAAGACTGGTTCCGAGACAGGAGTCAAAATGTCCGTTGGTCTTGCTCTTTGCGGCACAGGGGCAGGTAACGATTGTACAACGGCCTTCGTTGTAAGATCCATGGGTTGAGAAGAGGTGCTTCGCGAATCTTGTTCGCTCTTGTTCATTTCTACTTCAGGGGTTTCCTTTTTCGACGATTGGATCACGGTCGTTCTTATCTCCTCCGGAGCGGTTCGATTTGAAGGAAAGTAATAGCGATGCGACAATTCGTTTCGAACAACGGTAGTCTCCTGGGTACTGGCAATCGTTTGGGTACTTATGGGGGTGCTGGTTATCGTAATGGACACGCTCACGGACGTGGAGGTTGTAGGAAAAGTGAGTGTATAGGGGTAAGTAGTTGGCCTTCCTGATGGCAAAAGTCCTGGCAACCTGTTTGTATTCCGTTGAGACAGACTCAATAAACTTTGAGCTACTTCCTGTTCCTCGCTACCGGATTCTTCGCTTTCTTCTCCTTCGCTCTCTTCTTCTTCGTCCGAGGACTCTTCGGTGTTGCCACCTGCCGCTAGACGGGCAATGGCTTCCTTATCGATGTTCTCGTCGCAAACAATTGTTGGTACAGGAACCACTCCTAGCTCCACGCATTTCTTGTAATGGGCCTTTGATTTCATATGCTTTGTCAGGTTGCCCTTGGTTTTGAAACTGTAGAAAGAAAATATTTGGTATTTTAATGATGATCATAATTTTCCTTGTTTTGTTAAATTTTTAAAACCTAAGTTGGAATTCTGGAAAGTTAGAGATAGCTTCTATAAGTGGACAAGTTTTTCAAAGAACCAGAATTTGATAGCATCTATACCTAATGACTAATTAAGTAAATATTGATTCAATATCTTTATTCAAAATAATTTTTATCATCAGAGTATGAATGTACCTCATTAAATAAATATACAATTACTTTTGTCTTTCCTCATTTAAAACCAAGATTTTTAAAGAAAACCATATTCTGGCTGGCTGATTCATGAAAAAACAAAGTGAAACAAAAGAATAAAGTATCTTACCCAAAAGCGCAGTGCTTGCATGTGTATGGTCTTACATCTGTGTGAGTTCTGATATGTTTCTTTAACATGGATGGCTTTTTACAACGAATGCCGCATTCTTCACAAACGTATCGACCTCGACCTTACATAAGAGAGAAACAAGTTAAAAGTCTTTACTTGTAAAATGACGTTGACATACTTTTTATTGTAGCAACTTATTTATAAAATATATGTTGTGGATAACGTATAAGCTTGTAAAATACAAGATATATAAATATATTTATTAGAAAATTATTAATAGAAATAATTTGCAAGGTTTCAGCTATTTATTGGCTAAAGTTTTAGCAACTAAAGGTATCTTCTCACCTCTGCCCCTAACATACGTATAGTCCTCATTACTCTCGAATCCCCCATCGAAAATCTTGACTCTCTTCGCTTTCTCTTGCATGTCACCGTCCAAGCCGCTATCCGGGCTCGTAGGGGTGGTGGGTCTCTGCGAGGAGTGTGTCAAGATGTCCTCCTGCTTTTTCCAGGCGGTGGTATAATTAAACGATCTATGCCTCGAGTCATAATGCGCCATATCTACATCAGGTGGTGCTTCCTCGCATATCTTCCAATTGGAGTACATTGATAACCCGTGTTGCTGCGTGACGTACATGGGCTGTGGTCTGTTCAGAGTACAATAAAACACTCTGGTAGAACACTTCAAGCCCAGATATGTGTAAGCATGCCCGTTCAGGTAAAGTTGCCCGTACGATTTCTTCGGCCTGGGGGTTTCTGGGCTGATGAGTGGAAGCGTGTTCGCCGTCGGCGTAATTCCGTGATGCTTCTTCGGGGTGAAGGTGCCCGGCTTCAGCGGCAAAGAGGTGGGTCTCAAGAACTTGCTTGAATTCGTCTCCTCCTTCGTGGCGTCTCCGTTCTTCGGCGACTTCGCTTCGGGTTTGTCCACCTTGCTAATTAAATCTACGGAAGCTTTGTTTGGCACATCTGTTTTCGAGGTATCTACGTTGAGGAGCACCATCGGCGACACAGGATCGGGCTTAGCCTTGGCTCCATTAAAGGTACCGTAATACTCGGTCTGCTTGGTTCTCGTTTCGTTAAGACTCGCCTTTAGCCGTCCATTCTCGAGGGTCGTGGGCGAATCGTACTTCGCCGCGTTGTGTCCCAGAGATTCAACCATCACCCTGCCGGCTTCCACTTCGTTCACGTTCCACGTCGACAGTCTCTTTCTATTCTCGGAAGACTCCTTCGGCGAGTATCTAAGTTTACTGTAGGAGATCGAGGAAGCGACTCCCGCATCGATCCCGTTCGTGTAACCGAAACTTTTCTCCGCCTTCGGGCTCCGCTCGTACGCGAACTCCCGCCTGTCCCTGAGGCCCTCCATACCCTTGTACTTGATGGCCATGCTGTTCTTGATATGACGGTCAAGCTCTACCTTCGTCACCTCCACGACAGACGGCACTCCCCTCCGATACTTCTCCCCAGAATTTTCGACCTTAACGATAGGAACTTTTTGACTGGTCAAGCCAGCTTTCATGACGTCGTTTCCAGGTGTTTTAAAGCCGAGTTTCGAGTCCTTAGCAGGACTAGCCAGATCCAAGGGTTGACCCATCATGGGCACATGTCCACTGGACATGGGTCCTGGGATTCCAGGTACACTCGGTGTCTGTATCTTGACCGGACTGGCCAGGTCCAGAGGTTGAGGGATCATATGCAGGCCGGGTAGACCAGGTATCACCTTGTAGCCGGCTTCGCCAGTCGCTATACTCGAGGATATGTCTATGGTCGGTGTCAGAGTGTGTGGTCCAGGCATGCCGGGGACGTAGGGTATGACCTTGCCGCCGTGGAGGATGCTCGTGATTTGTCCTGGTTGGGGCAGAGTCAACGGGTTGTAGGCAGTGATGCTGGTCAGGGGGTTCAAATGGGACTCCATGTAATTGTAGCAGGACATACTGGGTGCTATGTTCGGGGTTGATATGTTCGGTATGATGGGTGCCAACATTTTAGGTGTGTTGGGCAAGGATATGGAGGTACTGGCCGTACTGACGGGAGTGCCTGGCGGTTTGTGCACCATGGTACCACCCGAATGGAGGCCAGATCTGACCACGATGGAGGCGGTCTCCGAGGTGACGCACTTGCTGCTTACGATGTGTTCGCTGGTCGGGGACTTGGTTTGCCGCGGCTCGATCCTCATGGTTTTTGTTTCCCCGGTGTTGTCCAGTATCCTCACCTCTCCGCCGAACATCTGCAACGAGTTGGGCCGAGGATACTTGCTGAGTTCCTCCAGGGATCGCAACGTAGTGGGCACGGATTCTGACCTCTGTTTCTTTACAGGTGGCGTGTACGCGTCGACCAGCCGAGTGTTCCCTAGAAGTGGTCCAGGCGAGGGAAGAGGTTGCAACGTGTTGTAATAATCGGAAGACTTTGAATCGAACTCGGACTCTCTTTTATCGATCTCCAAAGGATACTCCCTGCGTGGACTTAGGCTACCTTTGCAGTAGTATCTCCGGTGGGCGTCCAGGTTGTCGATGCTCGAGTAGGGGATGTTGCAAGAGGGACAAAGGTAATTCTCGTTCTCCGTGCTACCGTCTTGGCTCGAATTTTGATTCTTCAGCAACAGGTCCTTTATTATGGAGCCTTCGGAATTGTTCGGACAATCTTTGTCCTCCGCGAAGGTATCGCTGTAACAACGTTTCCTGGAGGCAAATTCTTCGGCCGAGGAGAGATTCAACGGTTGGTCAGATTCTTTCATCTCTACGAGACTTTGTTGCCTTTGAATCAGCTTGTGAAGTCGCGGATCTACCGCTTCGACGATCGCCTGGTTGTCGGTGATAATTTTGTCGATGTGTTCCTGCACCTGCTCCGGGTTGGGTTTAGGAGTGACAGCTGCGGTCGTTGAGGAAGAACTGTTCGTGGAAGAAACGGAGGATAAGGAAGACGTTTCGATATCGTTGTTAACGCACTGGAGCGCCGTGTGGAATTTTGGCTTGTAGATTTTCCCGGTTTTGATCGTTTTCACGCTGGATACGGTGGTCGTGGGAGTTGACGAAGGTGGTGGTGGTGGTGTGCCGGTACCGTTGCTCGCGCTGTCGGACAAACTTATGTCCGAATCTTCTGATACCTGCGATAAAATACTGTGTATAGTTACACCACACAATCGCGGCTTTAAGAATTTTCCGGATAAACTCATGGATATTAATAGCGAGTGTGTTCCCATTTTCTCCATGAAAATTTAGCATGTTTAAAAATATTCATTAAAGTGAATTTTGGGATTTTCCTTATGATTTCACAAGTTTTCGAAACTCTAATACAGGAAAGCGCTATACAAAGTTCCGAGAAACCCTATATGGAACCTAATAAAAATCTCTCAATTAATGAAATCTTAATTTCCGCAGGTACCCAGAAAGGTGAAAACGGTGTCATAAGAATGTAAAATACATTGGATTACGTGCGTACCTTGCTGGCATCACCACCCTCCATTTTCAGGGCATGAGCTCGTGACCTGCAGTGTTTGTAGAGGTTCGATTTGGTTTTAAAGGCGAAACCGCAAGGCACGCAAGGATACGGTCTCTCGTTCGTGTGTGCCCTGATGTGTTTCTGCAAGACGCTTGGCTTAGCGCACAATAGCCTGCAATAAGGGCACACGTAGCCGCTTTTCCTGGACTCGGCTGCGGGGTCTCCATCCACGGATTCCGGGGACGCCTCGATCTTGATCGGATCTTTAGGCGACTCTCGGAAGTCCTTGGTCGAATCTTTCTTTTTAGGTGGTTCCAAAGAATCGTTGCTGACCGCGGTGTCCTTCTTCGGCTCCACCTTCGGCGAGACCTCGGTTGTCGCCATCTTCTTGAACTTTTTGTGCAGGTACTTTTGCTCGCCATCGTTGTTATTGTTATTATTATTGTTATTGTTGTTGTTGTTGTTGCTGTTATTGTTGTTCGCTAACTGTGGGTCTGTCATCGCCACAGTGTGAGTCTCTGGAAAATATAAATATCATTTTTTGAGATATACAGTTATAATTATTTTTATCTTAATAGTAGATTGCATCTTAATGCTATTTTTTATTATATGTATTGTTAGTAATATTCTTTATTCGAAAATTATGCTCTTGTCGAAATATTTTAATAGTAATACGAATTTATACCTTGTGTCGACATTTACAATAGAAATAAATTGCAGTCTGTAGTTTTATTATGTCAACAAATAATTCTTTTGATCGATGCGAAATCTAACAGACGTAAGAATAGACTCAACAGTAATGTAACGAATGTCAATGAGGAAAAGAAAGATGGTTCGAAGAACGTGATTCACAAACAGATCCCAACTGTTTTCCGATATTGCACGCGAATCAACTGGATTGTTCCAAGAACTCTCTTTACCAAGAACATCATAACGAATCATGCGCGATGAACGAAGTGCTAAGAATACGTGAAATATTTTGTGATCGCAAATTCACAGAAATCCTGGCAAGTACACTTGCTCGAGAAAGTCTTTGCATAGTGACTTTCCTTATTTAATTATAAGAATAAATATTAAAGAAAAAAGCATTCTTTTCCTTCATAGATTAAGTAGTCGGTTTTTGTTGCAGTTTGTGCAGATCCATCATCGATAAATTTCAATATGGCGGACCGGAATTTCAATCTTAATGAATGTGGACGCTTAAGTATTTTAGGTATTTTCAATTTTGTAAAACTTATTTATTATGTATTGGAATTTCTTTATTTTCTTGTGCGCTTATGGAGCAGTGGAATATTAACGTGTTTAATATATTTTAGAATTTTTTTTTTAATTTATATTATGTATTACAGTTACAGTGAAGTGTCAGTTGTCAATCATGTGACTATAGATGACACTATTCTTAATAAGGAGTTCTTATTCACTGTCAATCATGCTTTCTTTCTTGGTACAACCGGTGATGGCAAAACATCTGAACGGTATAGTGACAGAGAATCTATTCCACGTACAACTCTTATTCAAAGGTTCCAAAATAGTGCCATATACAGAGACTGTACTGTACATCTATTTTACACAGTAAATAAATTTCATTTGAACCGAAATGAAACATTTCAATTAAATACTATGAAATTGAGATAAAGCATTTAATTGACTCATAAATCAGTCAAGTTATACAGTTACAGAAAATTTATGTTTTACAATAATAATCAATTAATGAAAAACAATTAAAAAATAGTTTCAGTAATTCAAAATAAGTAATAAATCAGTTGGACGATTAAAAAATTAATCCAAAGTAATTACTTTTAAAATAACTGCACTTAAAATTGGGAACACTGATTGTTAATGAAATACAATTAGAATTAATTAGTAATTAAAGTTAATTAGTAAATGGGTCTTATTTTCTACTCTTATCTTCATTAAAGATAATTATTGAATTTGTTAATTATAAATGATTAGATAAAAGTTAACTAAAATAAGTTCGTTAACAATAATTAGTCAGTGAAATATTTATTACACTTATACTATTGCATTTATATAAAAATTTATTGTGGAAGTAAAATAATATTTGTGGAGTTATAAAATCGATTTTGTGAGACAAAGGATTAAACAAGTATAACACGTAATTATTAGATCGTTTGATATTCAAGGCCTGAGAGGTCATTCTTGCAGATTTATGCGAGGATCACGTTACGAAAGCGGAAGGAACCGAGTTCAACAGTTCAGATCACTCGGTCGCCGCTTATGTGCGAATCAGACTTTCCTCTGATTGAATTTCCATTTATAAATAACGTAACCGCTTCAACCGCAATTTTAACCACGATCAAATTGATCAGAAATTATTTACGATGCTCGTTCAAATATTTTAACAACTGTTATAACGGATGTGATCAAGTTATATCATTTCAGATTTTCAGGAGAAATTCAGGCATGATTTCATTACATAAAGGTGTTTCAAAATGGTACGATATACAAATTTAAAATTTAAGGTTCGATCAAAATGATTGTGTGAAGTTCGAGTTGATGTTTTCAAAATGGCGGATTAGCGGTTGTAACAAATTGTGAGATAATTGCAATGCAACTGTGTTGTAAAAATTACAGTTTTTATAAATTAAAGTTTTCGGATTTCCAATTCCCCAATTTTCAAATTTTCAAATTTCCAAACTTTCGAATTTTCAAATTTTCAGATTTTCAAATTTTCAAATTCCCAAATTCCCAAATCCCCAAATTCTAAAATTCCCAAATTTCTACATTTTCAAATTCTCAAATTCCCAAATTTCTAAATTTCCAAATTCCAAAGTTTCTAAATTCCAAAATTTCCAAATTTCCAAATTTCCAAACCCCAATTCCCAAATTCCCAAATTCCCAAATTCCCAAATTCCCAAATTCCCAAATTCCCAAATTCCCAATTTCCAATTTCTCAAATTCCCAAATTTCTCAATTTCCAAATTTCCAAACCCCAATTCCCAAATTCCCAAATTCTAAAATTCCCATATTCCTAAATTCCCAAATTCCCAAATTCCCAATTTCCAATTTCTCAAATTCCCAAATTCCCAAATTTCTAAATTTCCAGACCATAATTCCCAAATTCCCAAATTCCCAATTTCCAATTTCTCAAATTCCCAAATTCCCAAATTTCTAAATTTCCAGACCCTAATTCCCTAATTCCCTAATTCCCAAATTCTCAAAATTTCCAAATTTCAAAACCCAAATTCTCAAATTTCTAAATTTCCAAACTGATACTTACAATATACCAATTTAAATCTACGTCCAATCAAAATGACCGCGTAAATTCCTCAATGTTTTCAAAATGGCGGCTTATCAGTAGCAACAAATATTAAAATAACGATTGCAATGCAACAGTTCTATAAAATCTCTGATTTAATGATAGAAATATGTTTCAAAATAGCTACTTATGGCACGAAGCATCAAGCTAAACGATAATTACTGTGCAAACGTTCCATTAATATTCTTAATACAAAATGGCTACCAGTTACAGTAAACAGTTATTGCGAAATCAACACAACTTGATGGCGTAAAAAGTATTTACAGAAACTTGTATTCAATTTCATTTCATTTTGAACCTACTCAATTATGATTCAACTTGAACTTAATCGATTCGTATCAATTTACATTCAATTCGATAAAATTCAATTAAACTTCATTGCAATTCTGAATAACCTCAATTTGGCGCGAATCATAAATGGAAATTTCCACGTAACAGTTTTTCAAATTAATTAATTAAAAAGCTCCCGAATATAATTCTCTTTATTACGAAAATATGAAATATTCCATAAGTCATTGAGAGTTTTGCATAATAAAAATTACTTGTATTTTTTCATTCAAGGATCGTTTCACAATGAACGTCTGCTGAACGAGTTTCATCGCTCACAGTTACTCTTGCTCGTAATTGTGAATAATATCATGACTTGCAGCAATGTCATAGTTTCTTATCACTTCCACTACGTCTAACTAGACGTTCGAACTATCAGTGTCTGCGTAGCTGTTACGATGACACGTTACAGTAATTGTGAGTACACAGATATGTTTCTTGCAGTGGCTGCTTCTGTTGCGGCCTTACTCTGCAAACAATCATTTCCTAATCGGCGCCATACAGATAAACGAATCAAAGATGACACGTACTGGAGGTGCTTCTTGAGGACCGTATCTTTGTCAGCGTGGTTGCGATCAGTGATTAAACATATGGAGAATGTTAGTGGGATTTGGAACTTGACAATTTTGGGTTTTGGAAGATTGGAATTTGGAGAATTAGGGACTTTGAAGTTTTCAGGTCTTTAAATTTATCAATTCTCAAATTTTGGAATTTGTGAGTTTTTAGATCTTCAAATTACCAAAATTTCTGAATTTCCAAGTTTCCAAATTTCCAAATTCTCGAAGTTCTAAATTCGCAAATTTCCAAATTCTCAAAGTTCCAAATTCTCAAAATTCCAAATTCTCAAAATTCCACATTCTCAAATTTCCAAACTCTCAAATTTCCAAACTCTCAAATTTCCAAGCTCTTAAATTTCCAACCTCTCAAATTTCCAAACTCAAATTTCCAAATTCTCAAATTTCCAAATTCTCAAGTTTCCAAATTCTTAAAATTCCAATATCTCAAAATTCCAAATTCTCAAGTTTCCAAATTCCCAAATTTCCAAACTTTCAAATTTCCAAATTCTCAAATTTCCAAATTCTTAAAATTCCAAATTCTCAAGTTTCCAAATTCTCAAAATTTCCAAATTTCCAAACCCAAAAATCCCAAAATCCTCAAAATTCAAATCTCCCACAAATCCACAAATATTTCCCCAATAAAAATATCCAAATACACGATTAAATTTCACACAACAAAAAATAAATGAACCAATGGCATCAACACAAAATGAATTTGTAACTAAAATTTATTTATTACGCATCTTTTTTAGGAACACGTATTTACACTTTCAAGAAACGGAATAAAAAAACAAATTATATAAGCAGCATTTTTCAAGCACATTTATACGACTTAGCTGTAAATAACTCCGCTTCTTCTGTGCTCTTTTAAAACGCGAAAAATAGAAAACACATTCTTTTCAGATCCAAATATAATTCGAGCAAATTCTTTTTAGCTTACTAATTGTGTGTGTTAATTCGAATATTTTGTTCTGCCAATTGTTTTTCTTTTTTAAGTTCCTTTGAATTAATTTTACAATAAATTATTAATGAAATTTATTTATTTTTTAGATAAAATGTCTAGAATAATTTACAAATTATTTTGATAAAATAGGAATATTAATATTTTTATTAAAATTAATAAAAATTATTTACATTAAATTATTAAGATTAATTTTATTTTTAGTAATATAATAATTTTAATTTTAGTAATATTTTTAAATAAATTGTTTTGAAAGATAGTATTTGTTTATTGTATTATTAATATTATTTACAAGAATTCAATATGCATTTAAGAGTCAAGTTTTATTTTAAAAAATAACTGCACGTGCATTAACCCAGGAACGTCTTCAAACACAAAGAGTTAATAAGTATAACATTTTTTTTAAAGAAAATTAGAACCAAGGAAAGGTATAATAAGGTGTAATAAATCGATTATAAGAAAGTGGTTGTATAAAATTATATCGTGTACATAGAAACTCTCTTTTATAAACAGATGCACAGTGTCTCGTGTTACGTGGAATGAATAGCGTTCGCAGCTACATCAGGCCTTCAAACCGGAAATCCAAAGAAGCGAATGAAACGACAACGATGGCGTTCTTCAACGAATTCATTCTGACACACGTAAACCGTTCTCTTCCGCAAGCAGGCGATACCGATGAAAAATTATCACGGGATGTTTTATTTTCCTGCGCTACAGTTTGCATCAAAAATGGAAACGTTAACTCAAAACTTCGATCGTAACTTAACAAAAATATTAATTTATGCAAACTACTGAATTACCATTTTATGAGGGTAAATAATTAATCTAAACAAAAAGTTTATCGTTTATTATATGCTACATATATTATAAAACTTCATGAGATAAATTGCAGATAATTATTATGTACGGTAATGATCGCGTAGGTTTTATATTCAAGGTGATCGCAAAACTATTTCATAAGTAATCATCTGTTCTGTTGCTATGACAACGCTTCATGGGCGCCGCCATATTGGAACACGTATGTAAATATAGAACAGATAATTACATAAAAAATTAATTATTATTGCTAACATAAAATGCCTGACTCTTTGTTCAAAAAAATGATGAATTAATTAAATTATAATATAATTTAATAAATATTTCAAACTGTTTCCAAAACAGTAATGAATTTACAAATTTTTAATAATACTTTTTTTTGGACCACCCTGTATACGACAAAAAAGTATACCAATGTTCCAATCCGATTTTTTTTGCATATGGTCAATGTTGATATTGCATGTGTACATTTTTTCCGGGATTGTGTCCCCATATCGTTTCGCGCTTGTAAATATTGCAACTGATATTTTTGCAGGCTTGTAGTGGAACACAACTGCTCCTAGGGGACACTAAAATTGGGTCACAATTCGTTTTGTTTTCTCGTTCGAAACAAACGCTGGTGTTCCCGACTTTTGGTGTGTTATAATTCCTGGCATGAAACATTTATTTTTTGTGTCAAACGCAGCCAAACGAAACAACGTACTTCGCAATGAAAACTTTGAAAACTGTCACTGCACGAGCGGAACGTATTTTGTCGATAAATTGTTGTCGCTGACAAATCTGGGACAATTTGTGGTCATGCCTGAATAAACTATTTGACAATGAATATTCGATACAACGCTGGGTACACTAATTGTTAAGGAATATATAATATAACGCTGGATGAACTAATTAATAATGAATATACAATATACGGTATACTTGTTATTACGGTCAGTAGACGTTTATGAAAATATTTTATTACACAATGAAATAAATATGTTTCAATTCTTTCCAATATAAAAAAATATATAACTGAAATAATAATTAACTTGGAGTATTAAGTAAATAGTTAGGATACGAATAAATTTAATATAGAAAAGTATTTTTAACTTAAATATTAGCGAGGGTTGTAAGAATTGTGCATGCACACTGATGACATTCACCCGCCATTACAGCGCACGCGCACTATCGTCATTACAGTCCCAAAATTCAAAAATCCCGCGGGACGAATTCCCGTTAAAAAACTGTAAGTGAGCGTAACAATAAAAACATAATCAGTTAGAAACGTTCAATCGTTATGTTAATTATAGAAGCGTCGAAGTCGTTCAACTTGTAATTATATCGGTCTAATAATTTCGACGCCAAGCACGGAATCTCTGCGCTAGAATTAGCAATGGAAGTGATAAGAATGAAGGAAAAATGGCGGAGAATGAGTAGCAGTGACACGCGAAGGCTGCGCTCGAGATAAAGCTCGATTTCAAGAAATGAAACGTAACTCGCACGACAAACCATCAATTACGAACCATGAATAGACCGTTCAAAAGCTACTTGTAGACATTGGACAACACAGCCACCGGTCAGGCCGTTTGTTAATCGTTTTATACCGGACGTGTTAGGTGTGTTAAAGACCGATTCAATGGTTCGCGAACTTTCCTTCTATTTATCACGATCGTTATTTTCACTGCGAGTAATTTGTTCAGTGTTTACATTGCGAAAATCGTGTGAAATCATGTGACTCTGACAGCACGTGTCTCACAAGGAAAAATTTCTAATCGGATAATTCTTGGTTGTATCTAAACTCGATCGAGTTTTGTGAAAGATGAATTATGCAAAATACAGGTATCCTGCAAACTGATTATTTTTAAAAATAATAAACAAATTATTTTTCAATATTTACATAACCTTTTTTTGTTTTCAATTTTCTTAACCTCAAATCCGCCACATAATCAGCTCATCGATTCCATTAGCGTAATAACAAAGATGTAATTCTTAAGTAACCAACTCATTTCCATCTACGAATATGTATTCCGTGAAACGTTTAAACGTTTCGAGGAAAAATGGAATGTTTTTATGTTCCTAATATTTCGATCTTCCAAGAATACGATGATGACATTCAAACGAAGTATAGCGTCAGAATTATTCTGACAAACAAAATGTTTATTTCTTACGCATTCCAGATACCCGCATATTTAGCAACTATACATGAAAATATAAATTTTTAACAAATTCCTCAATTTAATCAAACACGAAAATTACAGAATTTTTCATTAGCAACAGAAAACTGTACAATGTTCTGTACAATTTCATATCTACTTTTTATTATTATTACACAAAAATTATAATCTTATATTCTAAGTACATTATTACATTTCTGATACACTAACATATCCTTATACAAACTTAATTCTATATTATAAAATTACAATTTCCTATTATTCACATAATTTAAAGAAATTAATAATATAATTTTAAAAAATGATGCGAATAATAATAAAATCTCATAATTTTTAGAAAATTAAATTAATTCATAAAAATTCACGAAGTACATAAAATTTCATAAATTAAAATGAGTTTTATGATAAACAGAAATTTACACATAAAAAATTAATTTCTTTCAAATTTAATCAATCATGCTAATCGAATTATTGATCACGCTAAACATATTGCAGCGTTTTTATACGTTCAATGAAAAAAAACGGAAGCATTTAATAAATTTGTCATGTATAAAACATAACGTAATAATGAACATTCGTCAAAGCTTATTAAACGCACACGTGTTACCTTGTCTCTGGCGAAAGTAATTAATTCAAAACATTGCGTCAATGTTGCCTGACATTTCATGTTGTTTTTTACAAAAGAGCGTGTGAATCACGCTTTTAATCCAACTCCATATTTTAATCAAACATTAAAATTCACGTACATCTGGAAACGTGTTTGCTCGTACCACGATCGACGTACAATATCAATTTTTATGTATCTATCGTGGGTAAATTAGATGAAAATAAAACTAGGTCGATGATAGGTTATGTCGAGGAAAAAGAAATTTTATTTAGCAACGCAAAGTGGGATTTGGTTGATCATCTGATTGAGCAGGAAAACGTTATCTATGTACCACACGTTTCATGCCACGTGAATTAAGCTGTACACGTTTGAAAACCGCATTATATTTGCCTTCAGTTTTAACGGTTACATCTCGAAATAGACACGATAAAAAAATTCCTTTCATCAGTCTATTACGTGCAGGCTTTTCAAACGTAATTTTACCCTGACTGAATAACACCGATCTGCATGAAGTGTAATTTTAACCCAACTGCCAATGTGTTAATTAGTATTGTACACTCACAAGTATAACAGACTACTCTCCGTTTAAGGGGAAAAGTCACACTGCTGACGCAATTTGACAAACTTGCATCGTGTTTAGTACTCTCGAATTTTAAGGTTAGTTCTAATTATAATTTACGCTGTTATCCTTACGTTAAAATACTTTCGTTGCATTCCACATTTTCCTTTTATATTTAATTCACAGTTGATTGAATTAGTGAAAGAGCAAACATTTTTCGAACTATTCAAATTTGGCGTCAATTTGAAGATAACGAATTTCAACGTTCGCACACCTGTCAAGTTTTATACTCGACCTTACAAAATTATATTCTAAAACGGATAAATTATTTTTAACGCGATTTATACTACGTAGTGAAGGTAAAAAGGTCATAGATTGTTTGGGTATTGTAAAAGGAGGTCGATGCAAAGAAGTTAGGAAACAGTTGCGAACGATTGCGTTAATATTCGATAATTATGGCAAAACAGATTCTTTGAAATGTTTGTTGAAAAACATTGTTTATCTTTAATTATTCGCTGGCTGCGGGGGAAGCTTCTTTCCCCTACATTTTCTGTTGGCCGAAGAGAAGCCTGTTATGGTGTGCCACGTGGTACGGAACGCGTTAGTAGTGAAGGAATTGGAATACAGCTTCCTATGCGTTACACAATTACGAGTATTCATCGTTTTCCGACTACACAGCCGCGAATGTTCTGCATTCCACCGAAGAATTGAATAGCAATGTTATCGTCCGATTATAGGAAATCGTTTCTATTAACAGCGTCTTGAAAGCTTTCGTTCGAAGAATTTCATTCAGTCGTATTTTCATTCATCGTCAATAAACTTCTCATTTAAATCGTTTTAATTAACTGGAACGTAGATCTATACCTGCGATCTAAGGAGAGATTTTTAATCAAACGCTACTTTGATGTAGAACTTTCTTTACAAGATAATATTGAGGTTAGTACATTTTATATATTTATTTTTGAAGTCATCAACCTGCTTACAGTTGAGAATTCACTGCAATTTTAGTGCAATGTCAAAATCGCAAATTTTTAATTTGAAGTTGCGAGTTTACAGATTTGTAAATTTAGAGATTTATATTTAAAAATTCTCCAATCTGCTAACAGCAAATATAAAAATTGACCGTGAAATATTAACACTTAACGGATGTTTTTTCTCTTTCTCGGTTTCCCGGCATTTAAGAGGATTAAATAGACATGTATGCATGGTTTTAAACCGTTGCCGATTTATCGAATCAACACTATTTTACCAAGCTATTTACACGTCTACTACTCAAGAGTACGATATATTATAAAACATTCACATTCGTGAAGTGAAACCTGACATAACTGACATATTATATCTTGCAACTCTTTCAAGCTTGCTATTTTCACAAAATTGCGCAGGAAATCTGCGCAGTAGGTTCAACGGACAGATGGTACAACTAACGGTAACAAAAACTACCCATTGTGTATAAAAATAAAAAACTAAAGCAGTTTGATAAAAGTCCTCGCAAAAATGTGGTCCACGAGAATGGAGAATTTACATTGGTCTTAGAAAGTAAGAATGGAAAAACGTGAGTAGTGAGTAGTCCGTTAAGAATATTGGAACATAGGTATACGAACGTTAGAGTGCATGATCAAGAAATATCGACAAGGATCTCACCATGATCACGGATGATTCGTACAGTGCTGCCACCCGTCAGGGAAACGGGAGATTCCCGCGACAGGCAAATGAGTCACGCGTACTCGCTGGCTCTCGCGTCTGACGTAGCGTCCTTCCTCTTTCCTCGGTCAGACAAACCGACACTCTCATCCACGCTAGTCTGACGAAGCGCCAACATTTCCCCTCTCCCTGCGAGCGTCTTCTCCGAGAACGAGGCTCACACGGAGACGGTCGCCAGCTCCCCGCTGCGTCCCCGGGAGACGACAAGACTCGGTTTAGCTCGCCTTGCCAACCACGAGGAAACCCCGAGCCTTTCCCTCTTTGCACCGCCTACCAACTGTTTCGTCTCCTCTTCCCCGTTCCTCGCCTGACCAAGCTTCTACGACCGAAGCAGTAAACTCGACGCAGATTCGCGTCGTTCCGAGTTGCGCCGCTTCGATGGAGCGGTGAACGGGTGATTAGGTCACGCACCCCGTGCGTCGCCGTCTATATGCCCTAGGCCGTTCACGGCCGTGTGTCCACGGAATTCCCCGTTGTTTTTCGAGAGGCACGATCTACTCGCTATACCTATTATACCAGCTCTCCCGGCTACGCTTTTCTATATAACACACTGTGCTGTCTATAGAACGCGCAACTAGCATGATTCACGAGGCCCGTGCTACAGACGGAGCTGCTGCTATTGGTAATCGATAAATTATCGACGTCTTATCGATACCGCAGACGTACGGAATATGTGGACCTATTATCCGATGTATTTTTCTTGTGGTTATACGAGTTGCTGCTAAGCTCGTGTCAACTTTGTCGAAAACATACGTCATAGCTCGGTAATTTCGCAATTTGACAGTCTTAGTTTTTATGCAGTTTCGATATTATTTTATTTTTTAACTGTTTCATTTTTTGATTGTCATTACTTTTAATTATGCTGGGGCATGATTCAAGTTTTATTTTATACTAAACGGTGTTTAGTACCCTATTTAAAAAAAACCGCGACACATGCGCAGTAGTCCATCAGTTACAAGCTGTCATTTCTGTACTTCGGATGGTCATGTTTCGAATATTTCCAAGTTTTCTTGTTGTGTACTTTCAATTTCTAGGTCCAAGATTTTTTTGTTCACAGTTCTTGAGGCTTTAGTGATTCAGTATATTCTATCCTTAACTTCTGGTCGAGATCCACAAAGGAACACAAAGTAACGATTTTTACTGTGGTTATGTACATGGATTTTGACCGTTGCCGCCATTTTTCGGTAAAGTACCGTTGAATTTAATTTTTAAATAACGATATGTTTTAACTAAGATATACAAGTTATATAAGTGTCGACTATTTCAGGACTCTGATTAAATGTTCTGGAGCTGCATTTCTATAAATTGCTGTAAAAATAGCAATTTAATCACTGTGATTGGAAAAAAATGAATAGTAATAATATATTGACCACTACTCATGAGTAGAGAACGTTCGCATGTAGGTTGATATGGCAGTCGAGCATGAGACACGAAAGTCCATAAGGTGAAATGTCTCCTCGTAAAACTCGTCTATGTTGATACTGAACGAAATAGTGATGATGTTAAGATGTCGTTAGGGTTAATGGCAGCGATTGAGGTAGAATGTGAACCATAGCTGTATCTTTATGAATTGTTTCGTGGATCGAAAAATAATAAAATACAGTCTGAATTGAGATTTAAACGATTATTAAAAAATCGGTATTTATTATATATACATAAATTCAACTTTTTTTTTAAGTTTCCTATTGCTTTAGACATTTATTTAACTTTTGATTTATAATTTCAGACCTTTTCCCATACGAGTTCGGAATTCTTGTATAACACCAGCAAAAGCTACGTAATAATAAAGAATTTTGCCGACCTCGTGTATCAACAGTTTCCTGCAAACGCAAATACTATAAGTGATGATTATGAAGAGTGGCTTTACCAGGAAATTTCCACAATGGTTAAAGACACTCAAGTATGCTGGCAGATTACCGCTGGACATTAAAGATACTCCACAGATAAAGCACAAGCTAAAAATAAAGCACGTTTCGCGATTTCGTCAATAAAAGTCACTTTTCTTTTTTTTGTCCGTTTTCGTATCGCATTTCACCACATCTGGGATAAAAATGTAATTAGAAAAATTGATCAGTCATATCAAATATTAGAAGATCTTACTTATTTAATCTTTTGGACTTGAGTATTAGATTCTTTTTTTTAAATAGTTATCACAGTTCATAGTTTTGCACTGTGCTGACCTTCTTGGTCTTCTTAATATGTATATAAAATATTATTGATAATATTATATTCATAACGAAAGATTAAACAAATTTCATCAGAAATTCTCTGTTGGTGACTTAACAGCGTTCAGTGTACGGTTTGATGACGAAACGCTACTTGTGAATGGATGATTAAGTCATAAAGTCCTGCGCAATAGTAGGACATTCATAGCCAACATCGTTCATTGTTTACGAACGTTTTATCCGTTATCGTAATTAAAAAGCATCTTACCAGCATATTAAAATTAAACGTTGCACATTTATTCAGCTATTACGTTCTAACTATGTAACTTCAGAAGCAATATTTCTCAAGTTGAAAAGGAAATTACTCATTTTTTTTTTTGTGATTTTACTTATTTTAAATTGGTTGCAATTATGTAAAAATTGTGAGAATATTAATTATATACAAGACATGATGTCCATATATATGGACATAATTAAATACATAATGAGTCACCATTCTTGGAAAGACTAACTCATAATCAATTTGCAGATATGATTTAAATACAATGTTTTGTACTTTGACTTATATTAAATAATTGTAAAAATTACTGTTTAGTTATTAATTTTAATTTAGTCTATTATTTTTGTAATTATTTAGTTCATTGATTTACTGTTTTAATTGTGAACATAATTAGTTTAGTTTATTAATAGGTTACTTAATTAATAATTTAATGTATTATATTACTTTACTATTTATTTTAATATTTTGGTTATTTAATTATTTTTTACTTAGTTAATTTAATTTATTAGATTATTTATTTTACCGCAATATTTTGGTTTTAACATTTCCCTATAATTTTATTATTTTTAGCGCGAAGTTGTCTGAAGTTAAAATGCAAATTGCTTATGTACAAATTGCAAGCACCAATTGACCTAATGATTCATTAAATAATAGCACCGTTTACTATTGCAAAACAGAAGTACTCGCTCCTTTCAAACAACTGTTAAACAATACTTTATAAGCTGTTTGCAATGAATTCACTTGCAGAGTGTAGCCATGCAGAAAATTCAATGATAGTAAAAATTCCAGATACGTATCAGATCGTGCTAATGAGTTTCTCCTTTAAGTAATCTCTTTTATTTGTACTTTATCAACCGGAACGTCGGGTGGAAACAGGCGAAAACTCGTAACACAGCTTTGTAATACTTTTCTTTTTTAACTGGCAACATAAATCCGTGTAAACGTGGCAAATAATGAGTCTAATGTATCTTAAAGAACGATCAATCCACGCTGAAACAAGTTTCCTTAAGAGAGTTCTCAATTCGTATTATAAAGTTCAAAGAACGCTGAAATTTTCAACTGATAAACAGATTAGAAATGAGAATCGTGTCGTCGAAGCCGTCAAAGATACATTAATCCATTCACTAGTTTCAAAAAGAAGGAAAAAACAATATAAGTGCATTCAACTCTTTCAAAGTTATTACAAGATGTTCAGATTTGCGATAAGGAACTTTTACATAACAATCAATTATGCGCATATGAATATAATTTATGATACAACAGGATAACATTGAAATACTGCAGGAAATATGTATAATGCGAACATATATCAAATTACTGATTTTGAAATTATAGAAAGTCTGACATGGTTTTATGACCTAAAAATAACATTTGTGATGTATCTTCGAGATTGTTAAATTGCTGTGTAGTAACCATTTTTTGCATGGTGATCAGATAACCTCAAAAATCTCAGACTTAAGCGAGTGAAAAATTCACGTACGTAAACAAATGTGATGCTTATATAAAAGTAGTAAATTATTTTTAGCAATATTATATAATATTATAATTCTTTACAGTAATACATTTTAATTTTTACAATTTTTCTTAATTTTCTTAATGTTAAAAATATCCCACATCCGCCATATTTGTTTTATGTACTAATAGTTTTTTTTTCATATTTTAATTAAAACATTTTTCAAATATTCATTACCTTTCAATAAAAATTACAAAGCATAAAACAAATTGGAACTAGACAATGAACGATTGCGTTAACACAAGACACCGTAATTCAGCGAGAAAATAAATGGCCACCGTATCCAGCGCCAAGCGTTCACTGCATACTAAAGGTGACTGCAGTCACCTGTCAAAATCTGACATTAGTTAACAACAAGTGTGGTTGCCTCACCTCAAAGAGCAGCAACCATATGGTGAAGTGTAAAGCAACGCTCCTATGAGAAACCAGTGACCACGTGTCGCTTTTAGCAGACTACACAATGTTACAAATGTCAAGTGTCTTGAGCGAGAAAGAAATCGAACGCTGGAAGAGTAGGAAAGAAAGTAAGCAGCCTACCACTCCTTTTAACGGCTTCTGACATCATGGCTGACGATCGTTGCCCGTGGGCAGAACCTCGGGCAACGCTGACTACCCACTAGTCGAATCGTGTGCACACGCTTTTTGTAAAAAATCTAAATAATTGCTGACATTATTCTTTGTCACGAACTGTCGGTACTAAATCTGGGAATCAAATATATGAAAAATTCTGAATTTAAAACTGACAGTTTGAATGGTATATTTGTAAAGTTATAAATATGAAGTTATGAAATTCATAGACTTCTATATTTAACAGTTTGAGTTTATAAGTTGAACATTTTTTAATTTCCCATTTTGAAAAATATACAGTCTGAATTTATAGACTTGAAAATCTGTGAATTTATAGACCTGAAAATCTGTAAATTTGAAAGGATTATCCTATTGTCCTGATAAAGCGTCGAAGTCGATCTCGAAACAAACGATATATCGATACGCCACGTGTTCCTCTTTGTGACGCTAAATCCGAAGTATTTTTATGTATATAGAGTGGCATACGGTGACGCTCAGCAGTGACCCGGCAGTCAATACGTTAATAGGTTAACGCCGAAAGAAACGGAGGAATTTCTTGTGGCTAGAAATACGAAGACGAGAATTCTTGGAATTCCAGTTTGATTCGTATGATTTTATAGCATGGCCGGAGATCAAGCCGTTCATGTCACCTACAAGAATGGCGCGTAGCTTAGGTATCTTTCTGGTGTAGCATGAAAATAGCCAAGTGTACTTGGAATATCGCGCGGCCTACGCATTAGGCATGCTACAACGGCGTTCACCAGGCGTTCGCACTCGCACACGCTCGTGCAAGCGAGACCGAGAGAGGTTGGCCGACTCCTTCGGGAAGTGGGGGAATACGTACGAGGGAAGACCGTTGAGGAAAAAGAAAGAAACAGAGTGCGAACAAAGAAAAGGATAAAATATCCGGGAGAGGGAGAAAGGCCGCGAACCAGAGACAGGTAGATAAATGTGGTTTACGGCAGGAAGGTAAAGGACAGACAACGTTGCTGTCGCGTCGTGTCTGTCGAGTGTACCGGGTCAGAAACGAAAGGAGGAACAATTGCGAGAATCAGCTGCAGAAGGGTAGAGAGAAAAACAGGAAGAGAGGAAAACTGGAAAAAGAAAGGTAGATTTCAAGAGAGCAGGTAAAACGGGGATTAATAAGGATAAAGAACACAAAGAGACAGAAGGGTAGCTGGAATACGGAGGAGCTTGAACCGGAGAGCCAAGAGAGGTTAGGATTTAAGGTAGATTTATGTTACCCATTCAGACACGAAATCATTCCGTTCTGGCAAAGATTATTATGGATGGAAGCATATAAATTGTTTATGTAGAATGTAACGAATCAGCTCGATCTAGAGAGATGATTCAGTCACGATATATTTTAGACGTATGCCAACCGGCATTTTCACGAATTGATACTGTCTGATATTGTTTGAATACATTTTCGTACGATATGCATCTCGGGAGAGCTCTTTTGTTGAACTTATAACTGAATTAAGAATTATGTTCTGTTTATTATGTGGCATTTGTTAGTTTCATTAAATGAAAGCGTAAATTATTGATTCGTACCAAATGTCTTTATATTTTACAGTTTTCAAATTTCAAATTTGGCGCCAAACCGTTAGGAATAGAAGTTTGACAATCAAGCGCGAAAGGAGTTCTGTCTAGACCCGTATAGCGAAACTATATCGTGAAAACTTTTAAAGGTCTTGTCATTTTTCGATAATACGTATACATTTAAAGTCACAATATCTAATGATTAACACCACTTACGATACAAAGAAATGCTTCACAATTAATTCTGAAACATTCTCGGAACGCATCATGTTAATTCGACAAGTCTTAAAACAGTCTGTTCACCTTTCTCAAATAACATTTTATTCCCCCTTTCCACTTTCTCATTTGTTAATCAGAGTCTCAATAAAAAATTGTCGAAGAAATAGCAAGAATTTGCGAGAGAAAAATGCGAGCTGTTCGTCCGCATACGCAACCGGTATAACCGTAGCCTAATATAAAGCAACCTTAATACGTAAGAGAGAGATGCCAGGAGACAGGAGACAAGAGCGATTCATGAAAAGGAAAGACAGGATAAGAGAGGGGGAAGAAAAAGAGGGCTACAGGAGAAAGAGAGAAGGAAGAGGGGAGGTAGGGGGAAAGAGTAAGAGATTACTAACTAAAAGAAGAGAGGAATAGCTCATGGTTCACCTGTCGTCATGGCAACGCCGCTTCGCCGCTCACTTGTTACTCTATCGGCATAGCTCGGCCCTCGGTCCTCTCGCAGCCTCCGCAGGAATACGAACGCGAGTCACGATCCATGGTGGGACACAGAGTCGCGACTCCTCTCTCGTTATCCACTTACCAGCGCGTCAATCTGTTTGCTATGCAAATCCCGTCCGACCGGTGCTGACGTAGACGGCAACACCAACGCAGAAACGGGTTCGTCAACGATATCTCCTACTAACACACTTAACGGCGAGCAGTTAGTCATTGCCCGCGAAGCACACACGTAGAAAATATAATTGGCTACCACGACGGACCACGCAGCAATTCCACACGGGTTCTCCTTTTAGCCCCACCACTCTCTATCTCTCTCTTTCTCTGTTCGGCAACACCGATATCGAGTCCACTACACGACTCTTTACCACCACCAACAACCTACTCTCTGATACTGCTGTTGTTGTTACTACCACAATCACCGCTGCCAGCGGTAATACATCACCAACACACTAACGGACCCGCACTGCAAACTCCACGAACGTATTCCCCTTACGATTTTACACGGCTCCACGATTCTTGCCTGACGTCATTGGCGCCTAATCGCGACGTTGTATTTCTTCACTTCGTGCTCGCACCTCATGGCCTCTCTCTTTTCTCCGCGAATCTTACGAGATCCTCGACAGTCCCAATTCGAATATTCCACTTGGAACGTGTCGCGTATCGAGCGTTCGATCCGCGCCGCTCGCTCGGCACAGACTCAAACCGCTTTCAACCGCGTCTACGCCGTTATTGCTCATCACTCTTCCTACAACATAATTCCCGTTCGACGCCACTATGTACACACAGTTTCCACGCGTTTCTCTTTATTCACCACTACCACCACCACCACCACCGCCGCCGCTGCCGAGGAAAATGGTCGTGGCGTGCTCGAGGAACGGGTGCGCGCTCTTCTACCGGGTCTTCAACAAGTGATCGCAGCAGCAGTAACAGAAGAAGCGGCGGCGGCG